GGTACAGTGACTCTGTGTATTCCTTCCATCTTCTCTTGATGCTTTCTGCATCATTCAATAATTTGCCCAGAGAATCCTTCAATAACGAAAGTCGAGGCTTGAATTTTTTCTTCAATTCCCCCAGCTTGAGAAACGCTGAGCATGTTCTTCTTTTTTGGTTTTCTGATTCCAGGTCTTTGCACATATTGTTGTAATATTTGGTTTTATCTTCTGGAGCTGATCTTTGAAATTTTCTGTTCAGCTCTTGGACCGCCTCATTTCTTCCATTTGGTTTGGCATCTCTACCCTGGAGAGCAAGTTTCAGTGTCTCTTCTGACATTCATTTCGATCTTATCCTTCTTTCTGGTCTTCTTAATGACTTTTTGCTTTCATGTATGATGTTCTTGATGTCATCCCACAACTCTTCTGGTCTTTGGTCTTTAGTGTTTAATGTATCAAATCTGTTCTTCAGATGATCCTCTGAATTCAGATGGTATATATTCAAGGTCATTATTCTGGCTCTTGTGGACTTGTTTTCATTTTCTTCAGCTTAAGTTTGAATTTGCATACAAGCAATTGATGGTCTTTTCCACAATCTTCCCCTGGCCTTGTTTTCACTAATGATATGGAGCTTTTCCATCATCTCTTTCCGCAGATATAGTCAATTTGATTTCTATGTATTCCATCTGGTGAGGTCCATATCGTGGTAATTTTAAAAATATCTCAAATGAAGAATATAATTTGAATATGATGTTCATATTTTAACACTTGACAGTTTAAATCTAAAGTATTAAATAATTTTAAAAACTATATAATTTACCCCCTTCCAAGACTAAGACTCGATGGGAATACATGTTGTGATTGGTGATCACACTCGTCACTGATAAGGGGAAGTGAGGAAGCCCTACAATGTTCAATAGACTTCTGTGAACCCAGGTGGAGACCTGGTTGGCCACCAGTGTGGCAAGACCTGGGGACTCTTGAGCCCAGAGTCAGTGGCATAGCCAAAGAGGACTAGAGTGGAGAGTGAAGCATCCAGCTGATAGGAAGAGAGAGCATATGCACAAGAACACCCACACTTGCAGATAATACCCACTTGACCTGGCTTCAAGAACTGGATGATCAGAGCTCAACCAGAAGAAAGAAGAGGGAAAAAAGAATAATCTCATACAATTTGATGAACTTGACCTACACCTATGGATGCAGTAGCTCAAAAGAGAGAACAAATCTTTACAACAGCAAGGATCGTTCCCACCCCCTCCATACACAGAGTAGATAGGGATGGACAACTTGGACACTGGCTACCCAAAATGGGGAGGCTACAAAGACAAAAAATGACTAGCTTACAAGCTTTCAAGAGGGAATCTAGATTCAGAGGGCGTGAAGGAAGGTAGACTCTCAACTTAGTAGTATCCAATCTGTCTAGGCGGGCCTGATGAAATGAAATTTGGATGGGTCTCTTGTGACACAATAGTGAAAAATTATTATCAGGACTGCTTGTGAAGGTTGCACATGTAAAGGTAGATGTTTTGTAGTAAGGAGGGAGTGATTAACTTTTCAGTTTAGGAGCAGAGGTCCCTAGGACCATCAAGGAAGAAGAATGGAGAGTGGGAACCTACCCAGAGAAGCAGTGATGCCTGAGATGGAGGCAGAGACGATGACGTGGAGAGATGGAACAGCTGGGGACTTTAGACACAGAGAGGGAGAGGGGCTGTGTGCGGATGACTGGGGGGCAGGCTTGCAGGGTATACCCTTCAGTTGGTTGATGATGCATGGAGGGGATTGTAACCATGGCAATGAAACGATATACGATAGGATGAATGTAAAACTAATGTTCTCCCATGTAAACTATCACATGATTCACAAGAAAACATTTTAAAAAAAACTCTATATAATTTATATTTAAATACCTTTTACCTGAGGAAAATTTTTCATATGATATCTACTTTGCAAATCTATTGTGTATGACTTTAACAGACTTTCATTTTTCACAAAATATTGGCCACTACCAAGAAATCAAAGCTGCTTTGACTAAACTATTTGTTGTTGGTTTGTTTTGCTAAGACTAAGCTTAATAAATTATTCATTAGAAACATGTTTTTCACTTTTGATAAAGATAGATCTTACGTGGCACCCACTTTATGCTAAAAATTTCAAAGAAAAAAAAAATAAAAAATTGTTATTGCAACTCTTTGCATTCATTTTAGTATTGGAAGTATAAGTTTGTTTCTGACCTTCGCACAGTTTCTTGTACTGTTGTAGTGTTTCTTCCATTCTCTGATTACTTAATTGTTCCTACAAAATAATAGAATATGCATTAAAAACAAATTTAGCATGAAATATACAGCAATTTTTAATTGTGGGACTTAAAACCAGGGCTTATAGTAAACCTGAAATCTGTCTCCTACATAGATTTCCAAGTTTCTTGCCCCTTGGAGAAAAGGGCCAAGTGAGAAACATAACAAGAAGTAAAACTTTATACTTTATACCTCAAGTCACTGTCCAAACAGTTTCCCTACTTAGCATTTTAACCACCAGACTGTCTTATACCAGGAAAAGGAGAACTAAGTAAAAAGGACAGTCTACTACATATTTGGAGTCCCTCGGTAATACAAACACTTAAGCATTTGACTGCTAACCTAAAGTTTGGCAGTTGAGTCTACCCAGCTGCACCCTGGTAGAAAAGCCAGGGTATTTACTTCCAAAAGTCAACCATAAAAAATTCTATGGAACACAGTTCTACTCATGGGGTTCCCATGAGTCAGAATCAACTCAGTGTCAACTGGCTGGTTTTTGGTGTGTACTATTATTTACTCCTGCTGTGACACTGTAAAATCAGCACTGGACTTCAAACTCCAAGGTCAGCAGTTCAAACCTACCAGCTGCTCCTCAAAAATCCCATACAGGGTTACTGTGAATCAGATGGCACTTAACAACAGCAATCCATTTACTATAGGAAGAACACGGAAAGTCATTTAAAAACAAAAAGAAGTTCCCGATCCAGTAAACTATAAATACAGAAAAACAGGAACCCTCCTTGCCCTCTTTCTTGAGCTGGGAGATAATAAAGAGAAAATTACAGAAGTCTTAAGAAGTAAGATTATGAGAAGTGGATTATCTTCCAGTTCTAGTTTCAGCCTGACAGAACCAACTTGACAGCACTTAACAATAACAGCACTATGGAAAAGTTTGAGATATTGTCAGAATTACCAAAATGTGACAGAATACACACATTTAGCACCTGCTGATGGAAAAACAGTGCTGATAGACTTGCTCAGGGATGTACAGGGATGCAAACCTTCAATTTTAAAAACATACAGTATCTGTGAAGTACAACGCAACAAGGAATGTTTGTACATGCTCAATGGGGCTTTGTCTGATGTTTTCTCACGATTAAACTGAGGGTATGGCTTTTTGGGGAAAACAGCATAGAAAAAGTGTGCCCTATCAAAATGCCTTATTCATAGTGTTGTAGACCAGGCTTCTCCACTGTATTATATTTTCCTTTCCATGTTTTTAAATTTTTGCTTTCTAGTTGTTAGAAGCATGTTACTATGGACTTATTTAAGAAATTTAGTTTCAGATTCCAGAAAAGTTCAGAACAGAGTTTTTTATAAACTACAACTTACACATTTAATTACCAAAAGCAAACTAAACTCCTTGCCATCAATTCTGACTCAACATCAACCCTATAGGACACAGAAGAACTGCCCCATAGGGTTTCCAAGGCTGTCATCTTTATGGACCATCTTTCTCTCATGGAATAACTGATAGGTTCAAACCACTGACCTAGCAGCCGAGCACTTACCCATTGAGTCACCAGAGTTCCCCACACTTTGTTGTTGCTCAGTGCTGAGGAGTCATTTCCAACTCAGCAACCCTGTATAGGGTTTCCAAGGAGCAGCTGGTAAATTTGAACTGCTGACCTTGCAGTTCAAATTAGACACTAAAATACAGCAGCAGATTTTATTTAAACAAATTTATATTATTTTGTTTATCTATTATGTATGTATATTTGTTATATTTATATCATGTATGTATACATATGTTATGTATGTTTATATTATGTTATGCATGTATGTATGCTATCTATGAAGTGAGGTGGCTCCATACAATACGCACTGGACTGCTAATCACAAGGTTCACGGTTCAAGCCTACCAGAGTTGCTCGTGGGAGAAAGATGAGGCTTTCTGCTCTCACCAAGATTTAAAGCCTTGAAAACTCAATACAGGGTCACTGTGAGTCAGAACTGATTTGACAGCACCTAAGGCGCTGTGGGTTAATGCACTAGACTGAAAAGCCGTTTGAATTTCAAGGTTGGCGGTTCAAGCTCACCAGCTGCTCCTCGGAAACCCTATACAGGATCGCGATGGATCAGAACCTACTCAACGGCACTTAACAACAGCAACAATAAACAAAACCATTACCCTGAGTTGTTGAATGGTTCGCTGTCTCATATCTATTTCCTGAGAACAGTGGTTTTTCTTCTTCTCTAATTCATTAATTTTAACCCTCAGTGATTTCTCTTCATCACGCATTGCACATACCTACAAAGTAATGTTAAAACAAAGTAATTACGCTTAAAAATATATATATATGAATTGCTTTCTGTTTAAAATATATGACCCTTCTTCAAAGATTCATATACTTTTAATGCTCATTAGAACAATTATAGATTCTATATACCACATGATCTACTTTCAAATAATCATAAAATGTCTTAATATTCTAGTGGAGAATGAATATGAAGATCATATTCTTCTTCTGACATTATTCTAAGTATCTCAGATTCTAAACGTGCTCTTGAGAAAGAGTCAGCATAATGCCTGTATGTAACAGCAAAATCTTTTATCATATCATGAGAAATCAAGTGATACTCTGGACGGGAAAAAAAAAAAACTGGCTCAAATTCCTAAGATTCATTGAATAATATGATCCAGTAGTTTAAGAAATACTTTTAAAATAACTGTCCTCATCATAAAAAAAATTTTAAAGTTGACAAATGATCTGTCAGAGAACTTAATATATGAGGAAAACAGCCTTCATGGTGTTAAATTCAGCACACAATTTTTCAAGCAACTTACCTCTTTCTGTACTTGTTCAATCTGCTTTTTGGCATCAGTCAGCTTCTCTTTCAGCTCAGTACAGTCTTCTTCTTTCCTGTCAATAGCATCTTTCAAAGTCTGGTTAAGAGCAACATTTGCAGATAGCTTCTCTTTCAACCTAAAGAACACAAATCAGATTTCTATAATGACGCACCTTTAACCAACTAGGATTAAACATGTAATCTAGTAACCATCATTACAAAATTACAGCTCTCAAATTTGTAATGTCCAAACTGGAGATTTCATGTGACTTTAAAAGCAAATCTTTGAATACGAGTTTGGCTTCCAAGAATTATCTGAAAGAATACGCTCTTTACTCATTGTGCATTTTCACATGCCCATTCAACATAGTAAGAATGCAACCAATGTCACTAAATTGTACAAGTAGAAACTGTTGAAATGGTTTATATTAGGCTGTGTTTACTTTCAATGAAAACCTCCCCCCTAAAATAGTAAAATGAATACTTTGCAATATTTTAATAACATTTAGCTTACTTTTCTGTTTCTTGTCTGTTGGCTTCATTTTCTTCTTCCTTTAGTTGAAGTGAGTGCTTCACATCTTGCAAAGAATTTGTTAATTGAATGATCTCTTCTTTCAGTCTGACTTCTCTTTCACTTAAATCTTTGGTGCTTTTCATCGAATCCTGAAGATTTGCTTGAAATTCCTCCAGATTTTTTTCTAGCTTAAGGATAACAGATTCCTTTTCCAAAATGTCTTGTTCTAACTTGACTGAGCAACTATTTTTGTCTTTCTGTGTCTCTAACACTGTTTCCAACTCCTGTATTTTCGCCTTATAACAAGCATTATCTTGTGTAAGCTCTGACAGCGCTCTCTTTCCTTCAGCCACGTGCTGCACTTCAACATGAAGACTATGCATTTTTTCTTGCAGTTCTTCCTTCAGCTGTTGTATAAGACTCTCTTTTTCTTTTAGTAGGTCATCTTTTTTATTTTCCTTCTCTTCTATTTTCAGTCTATCGTTTTCATCTTTATAGCCTTTCACTTCTGCCTGTAATTTTTCAACTTTTTGTTCCAGTTCCTGGATCTCATGGCTTTTTTTAGAGGAAGCCTTCACAATCTCTTTACATTCCTCCCAAATAGCTTCAATACTTGAGTGGAAAGAATTGTCCCTACTATGTTCCTGAATACAAGACTCTTTAGACTGTTGACTTACCAAACAATCGCTACCTTGTAGGTGCAACTGTGTATTCAGCAAATGGAGCTCCTGAGAACCATCTGAAACATCCTTGAAATTGAGTAAATCTATGTTTGAAATCTGAGAACCAGAATCAAACATTCGCAGTTCATCGATTTTAGCTTGCATGAATTTTATTTGTGAAACATTATTTGTGATGTTGCTTTTAGCAGTTTCTATCTCCCTTGACAACTTTATAATCTCTTCCTCTTGATCTTGATTTATACCTTTCTGTACATGTAACTCCGAAACTGTATTTTCATACTTTAACTGAATTTGTTGAACCTGTACACTTAAAGAAGGAATTTCCTGCTGCAAACTAAAAATCTGTTTATTTAATCCTGCTTTTTCTTCCTTTTCATTTGTAAGTTCACTCTCAACAATACATAAACGTGTTTTCAGTTCTTCATTAGTTTTTAATAACTTTTTTATGTCTTCCTCTTCTTTGGAAATGCTATATTGTATATCTTCACTTTTCTTTTGGTCTTCAAAGGAAGGAGGGCTAATATATGTGTATCCTTTAAAAGCAAGAAAATGGTTATTATTCTTACAAACCTTAACAACACTAAAAAATTAACACATGAGTCAATATTCAAACACATGCAATAGCAAACATAATGAAAAACAGAAATATGCTGTTATAGAAAAAGGAAAAAAAGATTAGGTTGCAAAGCATACGAAATAAATGAACTTACAGCACTGTGCCTGGGATAGTTAACATATTATTAGAACTTAGAAGATAGCACAAAAAAGGTGCAACTTTATGTATTTATAATTAAAACGTAATAAAACTTTGCCTTCTTCAAGTTCAAGGTCTAAATTTCTAGAATACGGACATTTCTACCTGCCCAGCTTACTCTTTAGGTTGTTACTGTGATTCTAATGAGTTAATGTATAATATGCCAAAGCACTTAGTAAATGACATGTTGTTGTTAAGTGCAGTCCAATTAGTTCCAACTCATAATGACCCTGTATAGCGTTCTGAGAGCAGTTGGTGAGCTTGAACCACCAACATTGCAGTCTAGTAGATCAAAATGTTACATTTTAATAATTATAAGCAGAGATTTGAAATGAACAATTATAGGCATGCAAAAGAAATAAGTGATAAAGCATGATATCTAAGAACATCTATTAAGGTAATAGGCAGCTATAAATATGCCTATCTTCTGTCAGTTTAAAACACTAGCATAAAAATTAGTATTAGGTGACATTTAGATTTTCTCATGTTTTTTTCTTAGACAGGCAAATTTCCTCCTATTTGAAAGTTTTCTGTTTACAGCTTTAGGAGCTAACTTTATTAAAAGCCTCCAGCTGACAGCTAAAGTAAGTACCTTTCTTTGCTGGTGGTTCATCTGGTTGAGTAAGTTCATTTTCATTTGATCTTTTTCTTTCTGAGGAAGTTTTACTCTTGCTGTCTTTAAAGCCTTCAACTATTTCATCAGAAGTCAATTTATTATTTATTATTAAAGACGGTGTATCAGTCTTGTCCTGGCACAAAATTGTGAAATTCATATATAAGAAAGCTACAATCACTGCAAAAGCTACATATATTTTCAATCAATAATGTGGCAAATTTTTCATTATTTGTTGAAACATTTACTAGGTTATTTCTTAAAATAATAGATGGCTCTGGGAAATTTTTTTTAAAAATTAATTTGTACACTCACAAAGGGGGATGACAACACCTGTTCTGTGAAGCACAGTTAAGCCTCTAGCTTCACACTGATACCTAAAAATAAACCCACCCTCTACTTCCTGAGGGGACAGATGGTGAGACGAAAGTTAACTTGAGAATAACTAGAGAACCCTAAGAACATTTACCCAGCAGTCATTCAAAATGTGACTTCAAAAGAAATCACCATCAACTGAAAAAAATTATCTTGTTTCTTATACTTAAAACCTTGAACTCCCAAACTAGAAACCCAAAAATTCATTATTCTGTTTTTTAAACAAATCCTCTTAAAGAAAAAGTTTAACTTTAGTTTCTAGTCTCTCTATATAAATATGTACATATATATTTACATATATATATTCAAAAACATAGTCTACATAACAACTTAAAGTCAAACATTAAAGTTTTACTTTTTTAACGTAAAAAAACATACTTCTCTAAAAGACTAACAGAAAGAATGAAATGCAGCTTTATTTAGAAAAACAGTGAAACTATATTTAACTCTGCAAGTCTAAAAAAAGAATTAAGAGAAAGTATCTTTTAAAGGGAAAATTTTATTAAATTTCTGAAATACTGGAAACAATCCATTTTCTGGGGAAAAGTAATATAATAAAAAAAAATCTTACATCCTAAAATTGGAAAATTTGGCTCCTTTGTATTATCTACAGGAGGTATAGAAAAAATGATTTTTTAAGTCATAAAGTAATGGGGTAAACACAAAAAGCAAGGTGCTGATCCTACTTATATACAAACAAGCACCCTCATGGAATCTGGCTTCTTTGTTTGTTGGTTTAGGGGCACACTTTCATGGGCCATCCCAGTCACTGGCCGAATAATGTGTTTAGAGCTTCTGTTCTAACTGAGAATGCAAATATAAAGCTGGATTTTTAAGTAAGTTTTCCATATTGTTGTTGTTAAATGTTGTCAAGTTGGTTCTAACTCATAGCAATCCTGTACAGGGTTCCCAAGGTGCAGCTGGTGGGTCTGAACCACCAACCATGAAGGAAGCAATCCACTGCTTATTCTATAATGTCACACTTATTTTTTTGCTCAGTTATTCCTATCAACTCTTGAACTGCCTGATTCTATATAACTCCTTTTTTTGGACAAAAGAAAAGCAGCAATGTTAGAAAATATATTTTGGTGTAACTATAATGTAAATAAAATGCTTGTTAATTTTGTGAAATTTTAAAAGTAAAAACAGTCAACTGCAACACACCATACATAGCATAATCTTATTTTTATTTTTTAAAAATAAAAACATCATGTTCATAAATTAATACAAAGGAGAAGCAATAATGCATATTGGGCAAGAAAAAGCAAGAATCCATTTGGTCTTGCTTTGAAAATCTCCATTTTCTTGCTGTTTAGCCCTGGGTGATGTACTTAATATCTCTTAAATATATATATATTAATATTATCTTTGTCATAAAATTGTTTTGAGACTTAAATGAAAAATATGTGTAAAGCACTTTAAAGAATTTCTTGCATAAAGTATTTACAAATAAAATTATCTGCAAAATGATTGGCTAGAAGAATTACCAATTACTTGGATTTGCTTTTGCCTTTTTAAAATTTAGTATGAAGCTTATAGGGACTTCTGATTTGCATATGTCAATAACAAAATTCATAACTAGTATCTATTATTTTATAACTAAAAATAACTAAGGAAAAGATTAAGAATTTTTCAAATACTGTCAACTCTTCAGCTAAGCATATTATTCTAGTGAATTCTTTAAATCCTGGATACCAGATACCAAGAAGTCCTGGTGTGGCACTGCAGGATAAGTACTAGACTGCTAACCACAAGGTCAGTGGCTCAAGCCTACCAGCCACTCCTCGTATATCCTATACAGCGTTGCTATGAGTGGGAAATGACTCGATGGAGCTTAACAACAACAGATATCAAGATGTTGAATTATTTATATATGATCATAGCTTAAAATAAACTCAAGTTTTGGTCAATAAATGTAAGCTAAATTAAGAATACACAAGCCACCAGAGAAGGACAAGAAAGTAATATGCTAAGAGCTCTAAATTCACTTCACCTCCTTGTATACTTGTAATTTTCTCTTTAGATCTGTACAAGTCATCCTCAGGAAATAAGACTTTGTTTCTATGCCTTAGACACAACCCAGATTTTAAAACACTCAGAAACGTGTCACAAATAAACACGATTTAAATTGTACATCTAATCAATAGCATATACCTAATAAAGAGATATGTATATGCTGATGTAAAATTATCTGCACAATATTTTCAAGAGAAGAAGTCAAATAATATCATTTGTTTAAATGTTTCAAAAGGTATTTTATATGGGTGAGAGAGTGGTCTATCTATGCCTAAAACATTTCTGGAAAGATTCAAACTACAGTTTGACACTACTAAAAAGGTATGGGGAGATGAAAGGACTTATACTTTTCAATTAATCACATTTCCTTTTCTTTATTTAAAATATACTCAGGTTTAATTCATGCTCCTCCCCTTTCATTTACTTAAGCTCTTTATCAAGATAAAATAAATAAAACTCAAAGTAGTACCTTATTAGATTTCTCAAGTTCTTGAACCAATAATGAAGTTAAGTTAATTTCTGATTCTGAAAAAAATACAGAACAAATTAATATTGAAAATTATTGATGTTTTTTAAGTGCTGTATAGGGCTTCCCAAGCGCTGGTAGGTGTCAACCGCTGACCTCGTGGTTCAATACGACCTTGCAGTCCAGTGTTTATCCCACAGCCCTTATACTATAGCACCACTTCCGTACTCCAACAGCAGCCAGCAATGTATCATGGAACATAAATCGCTACAATAACATTTTAACTAAAGCTATCTTCTTGCTGAAAGGAGATTTTGGCCAGTATTTAATATGCATAGCACGGAAGCAGTTCGAAACTACCAGCCGCTCCGCGGGAGAAAGAGGAGGCTTTCAGCTCCCATAAAGACTTACAGCCTCGGAAACCCTAGGGTCGCTATGGGTCAGAACCGACTCGACGGCACATAACAACAACAACAACCAAAAAAGTAATGTTCCACAAAAAAACACTATCAAATGGCCTTTCCAAGCTCTAAATAGTAAAGAACTACCAGCATAATGAAAGGAGCTCTGGTGACATAGTGGTTACGATAACCTCAAGGTCAGCAGTTCGAAATTACCAGCTGTCCCACGGGAGAAAGATGAGGCTTTCTGCTCACGTAAAGATTTACAGCCTCAAAAACCCAGTACAGGGTCACTATGAATCAGAACCGACTCCATGGCACATAACCACCACCACCAAACCCTACAGGTTCATGATGAATCGGAACCGACTCTGCGGCACACTACCAACACCACCAGCACAATGACAGGGAAGAGAGAGCCAGGTCTTTCTCGGCTTCTTCATAAAGTTAGAAGCAGCAACCTGTAACACCTTATGTAGGAAAAATAGATTTTTCCACTAACTTTTTGAAGTCCCCTAATGTGGCACTGTGAGTTAATGCCCCAGACTGCAAAGCCGTTTGAACTGCAAAGTCGGCGGTTTAAGCTCACCAGCTGCTCCTCGGAAATCCTAAACAGAGTCGCTATGGGACACTGAACAATACACATCCTGAAGACCTGCTGTGGCACATTAGGATAAGCACTGAACTGCTAACCACAAGGTCAGCGGTTCAAACCCACCAGCTGCTCCTCAGAAACACTATACAGGGTCACTATAAGTCAGAACCAACTCATTGGCAAACAAATAATACACAACTTACACACATGCACACATTCCACAGATTCTATAGGATTTCTTAATTTCCTGATAAAGATAACTGTTATATTATTACTGAAGTAATGAGGGAAAAATACTTAATACTAAGTTAATGAATTCATAAATGATAAAATATTAAATATGTAATCTAGATCAAAGAATTTTCTGGACACTGTGGTAAATAAGCTACATAAGTATCATAGACTTACAAATTTAACTGTTTATGTGTTTATAATATCTAAATATTTTCAATAGTATCATATGCATGTGAAAGCTGGACAATGAATAAGGAAGACCTAGAAGACCTGATGGAGTCCTGGTGTACCACTGTGGGTTAATGTCCTGGACTGCATAATCGGTATGAACTGTAAGGTCGGGGGTTCAAGCTCACCAGTTACTCCTCAGAAACCCTATACAGGGTCGCTATGGGTTGGAACCGACTCTACGGCACTTGACAACAACAACAGAAGAATAGATCCATTTGAGTTATGGTGTTGGAGGAGAACATTGAGAATACTATGGCCTGCTAGAAGAACAAACAAATCTGTGATGGAAAAAATACAATGAAACTGCTCCTTAGAAGCCAGGATGGTCAGACTTCATCTCTCATACTTCAAGCTTATTATCAGGAGGAACCATTCTCTGGAGAAGGACATCATGCTTAGTAAAGTAGAGGGCCACCGAAAAAGAAAAAGAACCCCCAACGAGTTGGATTGGCACAGTGGCAGCAGCAATGGGCTGAAGCATAGCAACACTTGTGAGGCTGGCATAGGGCCAGAAGTATTCTGTTCTGTTGGGCATAAGATCTCCGTGAGTCAGTTCCAACCAGATAGCACCAGGAACAAATATCTAAATATGGGAAATATCATTTACTTACCATTTTCTCTCTTTTTTAACTTTTCTTGGGCTTTGATTAAGTCTTCTTTTGTCTTAGCTAATTCAGCTTTAACTTGGTTAAACTTTAGTTCTAAACAAGCAATAGCTTCCTGGGGGTCAGCAAGAGATGCAATATATAAGTGAGCAATTTCAGCCTGTTTTTTAATACCAGTGACATCATCTTGAAGAGAATCAATAATGTCTTCAATTCCTACATAATTACGTGCTCCCTAAAAACAGCAAAAACCATATGCCTAATGTTAACAATGGCTTTCACTCTTCGTTCGCTGCCACATCATTTATACAGGTTTGAAAACAGCCAAAAAGTCAGAACTTAAAATTTTTAAAAATTACATAAAAGAACATCCAAATACAAAAAGGCTGTGTTCCATTATTCCTTTTTTGTTTGTATGTAGCAGGAAGCATATTTTCCCATAAAAACAATACCATAAATCGAATATAACATTACAGAATAATTAGTATAGGCTCAATTACAGAATGAGTTTTAAGAGGTTTAGGTATAAAAACACAAGAAACCACCAATTTCACAACTCAGTCAAGGTCTCAAACAGCATCAGGGACACATAATGATATTTTGATAGAAACAGCAACAACCATATGTCTAATGTTAACAACTAACACTAACTATGCTAAGCTCCTGGAGTTAGTGTATTTTTTAAACTCTGCTCCATTGCAGGCAGAGTGGCAGCATGAAAATAGTGTACAGAAAGGGCAATATTTGGGAAACAGGAGGAAATGCCCAGAAAGGGTATTCCTTTTCATATACAAAGGGGTTTCAAAAAGTTCACAGAAAATAGAATTAAAAGATAATGTTTTAAGTCCCCAGATAAACAAAGTACTGCTTTTAAGAAGAACAAATTTGAAGGCCTCTGACTCCCTGATTTCAAAATTTACTGCATGGTCAAAACAGCCTGGTACTGGTACAATGAAAGACACATAGACCAATGGAACAGAACTGAGAATCCAAAAATTAACCCATTCACAAACAGCCAACTGATCTTTGGCAAAGGGCCAAAGTACCTTGAATGGGGAGAAAATAGTCTCTTCAACAGATGGTGTTGGCAAAACTGGAACTCGATATGCAAAAGAATGAAACAAGACCTTTTATGTCACACCATATACAAAAACCAACTTAGCATGGATTAAAGATATAAACATAAATCCCAGAAGTATAAAATTCATCAATGAAAAATTGAGACAAATTTAAGGGCACACATAGACTATCAAACATTGCAGGAAGTGCACAAACAACAAAGCAAAATAGATGATTTGGACATACTAAAAATCAGAAACTTTTGTGTATCAAAATATTTCACCAAAAGAGTAAAAAGGGAGCACACAGAATGGGAAAAAAATGTTTTGCAACGGCATATCAGACAAGAGACTAATCTCTAAAATCTGTAAGAAACTACAACACCTCTACAAAAAAAAGAAAAAGAAGCCAATTAAAAAATGGGTACAAGACATGAACAGACACTTCATCAAGGAAGACATTCAGGCAGTCAACAAACATATGAAGAAATGTTCACGATCACTAGCCATTAGAGCGATGCAAATCAAAACAACAATGAGATATCATCTCACAACAGCAATAACAGCAAAGTTCAAAAAAGCAGAGGACAATAAATGCTGGCGAGGATGTGGAGAAACTGAGACCCTCCTACATCGCTGGTGGAAATGTAAAATTGTTGAACCACTCTGGAAAATGGTATGGCTCTTCCTCAGAAACTTGGAAATAGAAATACCTTATGATCCAGCAATTTCTCTACTTGGTATATATCCACCAGAAATATGAAGTAGAACACGAGTAGATGTATGCACACCATACTTCTTGAAAGAAAGACCAGAAGGAAAAACAAAAACAAAAATGGCAGACTGTCTGGCTATCACAAGAACAAGCAAGTTGTTTGCCTGGCAGCCATCAAGGCAAGCAATCAAGTCCCTACAGGACAAACCCCCTTCCAAGACTGAAATTCAAAGGGAACACACAAGCAGGCATGCAAGCTCGCTGGTAACTGCATTGGTCTAGTGGAAACAGGGGAAAGGCTGAGTTCAACCATGTTCCATAGACTCCTCTTGACCTTGAGATGAGAGAGAGAAGAAGAAGGTCTGGTTAGTCCAAAGTTTGGGGAGACTTGGAAACTCCTGAGGCCATGGACACTGACCTAGCCACTAGGAGCTAGAGCTTTGAGTGAAGTGTCCAGCTGATATTAAGTAAGGGGAGGCATGCAAGGACACCCAAACTTATATATATAACATATTTGACCTAGTTTAGAGGGTCTGATGATCAGAACTGGACTAGGAAAGTTCAAGAAGTTTGATACAGGAAGCAAGTGTAAATTGCTACAATTTGATGAACTTTACCTATATACTTATGGATGCAGTAATGCAGTAGTTCAAAATGCCAATGGAGAGGGAAGGACCATGCAAATGACACGTTGGCTACCTAAATTGGGGGGGGGGGGGGGAGCATCTATAAAAGCATGAAGTGGCTGGCTTACAAGTTTTCAAGAGGCAGTGTAGTTTCAGAGTGAGCAGGGCAAGATAGAATCC